AGGAGTTAGAGATACTTTTAAATAAAATGGAAGCGATATTGGGAGACGAAAGATTAGAAGAAGTTGGTGATTTTAGGTATCTAGGAAGTCAGATAAGTCAGGACGGAAGGAGTAGTAGGAATATAAAGCAGAAGACTGCGCACGGTCGAGTCGTCCTTAATAAAAAGAAATCATTTCTATGCTCGCGATCGGTTAATTTAGAAATTCGAAAAAGATTGTTAAATGTGTATGTTTGGAGTGCGGCACTGTACGGGTGCGATGGACGATGGGCGCTGCGGAAAAGAAATGGTTAGAAGTGTTCGAAATGTGGTGTTACAGGCGAATGATAAGGATACCGTGGATAGAGAAGGTTAGAAATGAAGAGGTATTAGAAAGAATAGGAAAACAGAGGACTCTAGACTGGATTACTGTTCGCAAATAGTTAATGATATGGGTTGTTCTAGTTTTGGTTAAATGCGAAGATTAGCTCTTGATAGGAAAGAGTGGAGATGCGTGTTCCACCAGTCTTAGGACTGACGACCTTATGATGATGATGACCTCCACTAAGCCACCATGAGTGCTATCACCAGCCATTTTGGGTCGTAGATAATAATATGTAGGTTCGGTCTATATTTCTATTTACATTAAAAAAAGAAATATAAATACACATTAAATTAAACGGGGACAACTATACTTTAATTTTTATTTCAATTGGAGATACTTAGTGAACTGACACACTCTTGCCGCCATTATTTCTATTGGTTGGACCCAAAATGGTGGACATCATAATATTTAAATCTTTATAGTTCTCCAGCTCCATGTACAATCAGGCATAAATTACTATATGATGGGACATTTTCGGTGAGGAAAACATTTGTTAAATGACACAAAGCTACTCAAATTTCCTTTAAATAAAATATTAAGGTTAGTATCAGTTCGCAAACTAACTTTGGCCTAAAGATAAGTCGATTTGTGATGAAAACAATATAAAAACGGAAGATGGAATGACAAAATTAGCGACAAAAATAGAACTGGTTAAGCTGAACGACAAAACTTAACTTGTTGAACTAAACTACTGCAAAATGGAATAAAATCAAACCTATAATAATACCACCACCAGTACCTCCGAGAACAAAAGCTATAGAAAAGTATAGGAAAAGACCTGAAAATACATAGATATCACTACAGCGTAGTGCAATTAAATAAGGGTAGCTGACCGACGAAGTCTTCGTAGAATTTATCTATTGGGACCAAATGTTTTGAGAGGCCCCAACAGGGTGATATTTGTGATAATGAACATTCATACGCTATAGCAGCCAATGCAGTAACTTATATAAATATGGAAAATTACACCATGCTTAATATTGCATACATATCCCTAATCCTAATAACTACAACTGAAATTACACTGTAACAGTTATAATGTTTTAAACTTTAATCCATTGTCCTCTTGATAACAATACTGTCGATGCAATAAAAGACTGCGAAAATATTTCAGTGTTTTGTTGGTTATCCTTTTATTAGGATCATTAACGAATACAGCGGAAATGCGATTTGAAGAAGGTGGTTGGTCTTTGACGTTGTACGTTTTCGAGAAAATACTTTGGACGTTTAAAGCGATCGTTGCGGCTTAAGTTTGATTATTAAATTCGACAGAGGGGTCCCACATGTTTCAAAGGGCCGGGTCGACGCGTCGATTTGCAAAACCTGCAAAGTATGTAGCAGCCAGCTAACCGCGAAATTCCGCAAATTTAATATCAGCCCTTTGTAGGTTTCGCATTTAGTTCAGCAACATGCGGATTTCATAATTCCTGACCTTATTCGTCTGCGTTCAGTTCGAAACTGCTGTTTTCGTATTGTATTACAACAGGTTTTGTTGCTTCTTTTTTTTTTATTTTATAAACAACCTAATATTGAACAGGACGTCCGCAAGCTACTGCTTGACATATCGTCTCGCATATTTAATATTTACAATATAGGCAGAGACAACATCACAATTCATTTTTTTGGAGATCAATTTTAATGAAATAAAAAAGACAAACATTCATACAATTTAGACAACTTTTTGAAGATTTGTGACCTAATAAGTACGGTTTGTCGTTGTTGCTGTTGTCACCTCTCGTAGTTTAGTGGTCATCACATTGGTGCGTAAAGCCAAAGGTCCCGGGTTCGATTCCCGGCGGTGGTGTAACAACAGCAACAATTTTTCCCTCATTAATTTGAGGTAGCGTGGAGTGGGTAAAAAAATTCAAAAATGAATTTTCACAATTAATATTTCATATTAAAAAAGACAAATTTGAAAAACTCCAATAAGCGACGCGCTCCACTGGTTTGCAACACTCGCGTGTCAATGATAGAAGCAAATAAGCGAATTAGGAAGGGTGTTTGTCAGGGAATTAAGGGATAGAGAATCAATACCCTCGAGACAATCGTGACGTCAGTAATCCTTGTCGCTGTAAGGAATACGACAACAACCCTTTGCTTAAACACACAGTATAGATACTACTAACAAGAATACAAGCAAGAATGTTTGATGAAATTGTATAGTTTTTCAGTATTTTTAATTACTGGCTGTATATATAAAAGGAGTAAAATATAAAATTCGTTAATATATTAATAATAAGAAATAATTGCAGTGTTAAGTTTGGTTTGCATATTAAATTCTCTATAGGAAAGTTTGGATATAATGACTCCGTTTAAAATGACATATCGTTTATTATAACTCAATCTCAAGAAATCATATTCGGCTATAGTGACCCATGTGATTAATAATAACACTTTCGCTTATTTTTCTGACACCTCATGTATATTGATATTATAATTCATCGTTCTTTTTCTGTTAATAAATATCTATATACAATTTGTAGTATTTCTCTCTATTAAAGTAAACAACTAACCAAAATAGAAAGTTGTTTATTTTCTAAGACTATGCTTTATATGACGCCAGCTTAGTATGACGTGTTTGTCATTTTCCTTCAATGTCATTATAAGCGGATTCTAGTGTATACGAAATTAATAATTCAATATTTTCGAAATTCGATTGGTCTCAAATTATTCGTTACTTCCAATAATTTAATCCCAACCTAAATCATTCCTCTATCGTTATAAGAGATTGTGACGCATGTGATGCAATTGTCGAAGGTTTTTGTGCAACCGCACAAAATGGAACATTGTTAAACAGGAGATTAAAAGTTTAATTTCCCGGATAAAAGGTAAAGCAAACTACACAATAACTTAACAGAAAGTCCCGTTCATTTTCTCTGCTGGAATTCCGCAATAACGAGATCACCAGGAGTCCCAGACGACCGCTCGTCACGTTGATAGTCATCTCCATTTCTACATGTAAACCCCGACCTTAAGGGTGCAACATGAACGTTGACCAAACAATGGTATTTCATCTCGCTCCCACGTTTCACATGTACCGGGTGATTGAAAAAAAAATTATTGGGCACTCCTTGAAACGATTTTTCGAAGTGTTACGATTAAAATTACAAGTTAAAAACTAACTAAAAGAAATTAGCATAATACAGAAAAGTATCTCTACGGCAGGATGACCAAAACAAAAAACCGAATATGTTTTTTGGTCTCACGTAAAAATACGTTAATTTAACATGTATTAATATTACTTACCAAAAAAACTCAATTAAGTACTTGCATTTCACATCATGATATCATTGTCTACGTTTCAAAATTTTAAGTTGAAGTATCAGTATACAGATGCCGTTGTTTATTGTTTTATTTTATAGGGTTCCATACGTGCTCAACAAAAGCGGAACCCATATACGATTACCCAGATGTCTATCTGCCCGTCTGTCACAGTCAATTTACTTCGAATCTACTGGACCGATTAAGTTGAAATTTAGTACACATATGACCCAAACATAGACGCATAACGTAAATAATTTTTTTTTATAATTACATAATAAATAGTTTTAAGGTTATTTAAGAAAGTAGATGAAAATTGACCACTCCCCCCTTATATCCGAAACTATTGAACCTAAAATTTTGAAAAAAAATCAAAAAATAGTTATTTACCTATAGATTAGAGAAAAATTAATAAGAAGTTTATGGTCTGTACATAATGTGGTAAATCTTTCAACAAAACAATATTGTTTGAATACATGTCTTTTTTCAACTACAATGTTAAGTTGGTTCTCGGGTTAGGGTTCCGTACGTCCGAATGATAAACGGAACCCTTATAGGATCACTCGTGTATCTGTCTGACCGAAAATTCTGATCGAACTTTTTATAATTGTATGAAAGCCCAAAATCAATACGTGGTTGAAGTTAGAAGATTACCAGTTTCATACACTATTTTCCAAGAGTTGGTTGTACCTATGTAACTATCAATACAATCAATCAATGAGTCGAGATAATAATTTATTGATAGATTGACAAATGTCCTATGGAACTGTTAACAATAATTGTGTAGACCAAAACTGGTGCCATCGAGTGGAAGTTCTTTGTTTTAAACAAAAGAATAAGTTAGGGGATTGGTAATTAAATCACTCGGTATATATACTGTAGATTTAGGTCCGGATGGTAGCTTTATGTGCGTAATCTTCACCACTTTACTACCTACTAAAAGCACTTATATAACATAATAAAAAATAATTCGCAGGAGTACAATATGCGACATGTTGGAATGAATAGCTCTGTCGAATGATAACATATTTCGTTCCGAAAGGGCTTTTTTCAATAGTAATACCCAAGAAGAATAAGATCACGGGTAGTAGCAAACGAATTGGACGATAAATCTTGCAAGAAAGACCTCAAGAGGATCTTTAGAAGCTTGAGTGCAGCATTCAAAGTACAAAAGCGCGGCGGGTTCGTGTCTTGATCTACCGTTGATGTCTCCGCATAGAAATATTAATAAATTAACTAATTCTTGAAAATTAGCAATTTGTGCCTTCAAATTCACATAAATAAAGGCAAATGGAAAACAATTGCTAGTAGGGGCGAGTGGAATAATTGCGAACGAACGTAAAATTCCAGAAAATATGAAATCATGTGTGACTTACCCTTCTTCGTAGTAATGTCGTCAGCTAAAATGGTGGTTGGGGGGCTTAAGGGTTGCAGGGGGAACGGGCTGCTTCCCGGGGGATACCAGGGAGCTGGCCTCCAGCTACCCTGGTTCCCATTTAGCAACCTCAGCTTGTCGTAAACGCTATCCGCCGAAGTGTTGACAGGACTTTGTTGTTGTGCAGCTTGTTCCTTTTGGGCAGCCAGATTTCTTAGCACCCTATTGATTGAAGATACCTGTAACAAAAATACAACGTGTAATTATACAACACGTTACTGAAGTGAAACTTCTTCAAACACACAAACGTGCCGCGATAGGGGTTAAGGAATTCGTTTAATGGTATTATTTGTACACTATGAATTTAAATTTTATACTATACATGCCAGAGTTGCCTGTAACGAACGTTGTATTGAAGCGCGTTCACGGTTCAAGGGATCCCCACTACGAACTCGACTATGTGGCCGAGTAGAGGGGGGACATCCGTTGCATGATTTCGTTACATAGCAACTCGCATGAAACGCACTTACCCTTCCGTGCGTAAAGAAGTTTCACTGCAAAAATGTTTCCAAATTGCTATATATATATGGGAAAATCTCGACAATCTTTTTGAAATGGACCAAACTCCTCATATGTTAATAATATAAGTGCAGCCGTTTTAAAAAAAGAAAGAAAAAGAATTAAGGGATACTTATGGTGATTAGAATAATTTGATAGAAGAATAAAGCCTAGTGATAACCCGAAAGATAAGACCTCGGGTTAAACTTTGGCGCTTGATATTTAAAATGTATTTCTTGTAGATTCATTTTTTATATTGTTGGAAGTAAGTAGTCTAACATGTTTTTCGAAATTCGGAATTGATTTAATGGTATTATTTGTACTACACATGCCGGAGTTGCCTGTAACGAACGTTGCATTGAAGCGCGCTCACGGCTTAAGCGGTCCCCACTACGAGACATCCGTTGCATGATTTCGTTACATAGCAACTCGCATGAAACTAACTTACCCTACCGTGCGTAAAGAAGTTTCACTTCAAAAAAAATAAAACTATGAATAAAAGCAGGTATAAGCAGCTACCCACCTGGTTGCTTTGGGAAATATCTCCTGAGACACCCTATATATTACAAAAATTGTTTTAATAATTTTTTAAGTGCCTACCTAATCTGGAATTAATTTCTTTTTCTTTACCATGCGATAAAAACATTGCAAGTGCATATGGTACATGAAGGTATTTTGTCGTCTAACAATCAAAACATGGCCTGACAAACGTCATACTGTCAACAGCACAAGACCACCTTGCATGGGAATCAAAATTCCGAAATCGAACGTACAAGGAAACCTTAATAAAGTGCAGTGTAGTGAAAAGAGACGGACCTATGAAAGCTGCTGAAATTACATACGGAATCGGCTGCCGAACTGACTCTTTCGTGTGAATAACAAAAGATTGAAGAAAAAAGGTCATAATGGGGTGGTGGTATCATGGGGAAGTTTTTGAATGCAGTGCCAATAGAGGACGTCCCGTCGAGAGCTTTGTATGACCTGTGACCATTGACGACATCGACATCGGAGCTTTTTAATGAATTGCTGTTCTCCTGCCTTTTCCACGAGTACTTTTGTTTAGTCTGATGTTTTAATAATAATCGGCTCGTTTCAAGACCTTGTTGGCTATAGTAGTTTGTCGTACTTGTCGATATCAAGTGACTTTTACTCCAATTGACGATTGTACTACGACAAATGTCAAGAAGGATACGGGAAGTAATGGAAACCGTCAACTACATTTACAAAACACTCTTCAAGAATATTGTAAAATCATTGAAAGACTGTGTTTACATCAAAGGAACAAGTTAGTAGCATTTAAGATGTAGTGTTATAGGAAGATGTTAAAAGTTAAAAATATCGAGGACAGAAAAGGTTAGAAATGAGGAAGTATTAGAAAGAGTAAGAAAATATAAGCAAGATAGGTTGTGACAATCAAAATTGACAAAGTCGCAACAAATTATCCGTGAGAATGGACGTATCATCTTTCTTGACTCCAATTGGGATTGTAGTAATTTGCTGCGTTTTGAACACGCCCTTGTTAAGTTAGGGAATGCTTCATGATGAGTACAGACAAAATGAACAAGAGATAACTGGATAATAGTAAGAGGTGCAGCAGTTAGAGGTTGCTTAGGTACGCAAAAAATCAGGGCCGGCTTTAGAACTGCCTTTAAACACGCATCTTTGCTTTCATAAATTCCTGAGAATGTTGATCTTTAAAGTCCGTTGCTGACAACATGTTCAAATTCTGCATCTCTTTTCGTTACGCATCAATCGGTGTAATGCTATTCCTTTTTGTTTATTAGTGTCCGCCGCAATTCCTACCTGACATAACTTTAACTTTTGGGTGTTTCATTCCCACCAGCCAGTAATGCTGGTGGGCGGGCAGTCCCTCCGGACTACGCCGGAAGGTAGGGCGGAAGGCCCTCTTCAGCCTGCTTTCAGGAATCGTGGGAATGGGTGGGTGGTGGTTCGGGTGAGAAAGTTGAGACGGACGAAATGAAGACAGAAGAGAATGAAAGATTATCTGTGGAACAGTACTGCCCCAGCATTTACCTAAGTGATCCAAGGAAACCACAGAAAAACTTGAACCAAGGCAGACGGACCCGGAATCGAACCGGCGTCCTCCCGAATGCTAAGCAATAGTCTAAACCTCTAGGCCATGCCGCTCGGTCTACCTGACGTCTCTTTTCTATGCTTACGATATTCCCTACAACGTCTGTCGTGAGTAAAAGTAGGCGAAATAAGAAAGTAAATGCGACAGTTTTATTGCGGAATATGCCAATTTTGACGCTTTCTCAGACCTAGAACACTACCCGAAAAAATAAGAGTTGTAAGTTGTTTTAGCTTTATAGAAATCTGAAGATAGGTTTAAGAAAGAAAGCCGCACATCTACACTTATCTAAATAGTCTTCAAGCTGAAGAACTTACGATGACGATGATGATGAAGAAGTACCTACATGCAGCATATGTACTGAAACTTCTATAGGTAGCGTTCACTACGCTGTTTATATTTATTAATCGAACGCTATTTAATGAAACCAATTAGGTTAGTCGGCGTTCTTTGGGAACTTTAAAGACCTAAATAGTTTCAACTCGCGATCTACTATTAGCAGTTTACACAGAACATTGATTAACAGTAAGTTTTTGAAAAGCAAATAAAAGAAATTGTGCTTTTATTATTTATATTTCGAAATTAATTAATTAATTTAAACTTCCACAAATTAAAGGCAGAAACAATTAATTCAATCCACGCAACTTTCATGATAGCAATAATAATCAGCAAATTGATCCCCTCTCTCGTTAAACGACCTTACGTAATACCAAATGAATGATATCGCATGTAACTTATTTGATACCGCAAAGATTGAGTTGGCGTATTCTCCAAATTTAAAATTGGGGTTCTCAGCCTGCTACGATTTAATATCTTGCTCGACTGGTTCGTTTAGAAGAGTAATATTTGAATCTGAAACTTTAATTATCCTAACGGGGGGTGCAGTTCGATTTGAGAATTTCCCAATTCGTATAGATGGTACGCGTAATGTGTAATAATCTATTCGGACACGTGCTAGTCACGTGCCGCAAAGGCACTACAGTATTTCCGATCCACTCGTGCTAAAAAGCTTATATTACACCATCGGAGCTGCTCGATTCAAACGAATCTTTCAGATAAGCTGTAATGAAGGGACTAATAACATTTTTATGAAAAGATAAAAATCTTCCCTACATATAGACCATATTATTCTCTTGGTGATGACATAAAGTGTCATTGGTGATAACCCTATAGGACACTTTAATTTTGTAGTGTTGGATATATGCAAGTATGCATCCTAACATTTTGGAAGAAATCATCATCATCATCATCATCATCATCATCATCATCATCATCATCATCATCATCATCATCATCATCATCATCATCATCATCATCATCATCATCATCATCATCATCATCATCATCATCATCATCATCATCATCATCATCATCATCATCATCATCATCATCATCATCATCATCATCATCATCATCATCATCATCATCATCATCATCATCATCATCATCATCATCATCATCATCATCATCATCATCATCATCATCATCATCATCATCATCATCATCATCATCATCATCATCATCATCATCATCATCATCATCATCATCATCATCATCATCATCATCATCATCATCATCATCATCATCATCATCATCATCATCATCATCATCATCATCATCATCATCATCATCATCATCATCATCATCATCATCATCATCATCATCATCATCATCATCATCATCATCATCATCATCATCATCATCATCATCATCATCATCATCATCATCATCATCATCATCATCATCATCATCATCATCATCATCATCATCATCATCATCATCATCATCATCATCATCATCATCATCATCATCATCATCATCATCATCATCATCATCATCATCATCATCATCATCATCATCATCATCATCATCATCATCATCATCATCATCATCATCATCATCATCATCATCATCATCATCATCATCATCATCATCATCATCATCATCATCATCATCATCATCATCATCATCATCATCATCATCATCATCATCATCATCATCATCATCATCATCATCATCATCATCATCATCATCATCATCATCATCATCATCATCATCATCATCATCATCATCATCATCATCATCATCATCATCATCATCATCATCATCATCATCATCATCATCATCATCATCATCATCATCATCATCATCATCATCATCATCATCATCATCATCATCATCATCATCATCATCATCATCATCATCATCATCATCATCATCATCATCATCATCATCATCATCATCATCATCATCATCATCATCATCATCATCATCATCATCATCATCATCATCATCATCATCATCATCATCATCATCATCATCATCATCATCATCATCATCATCATCATCATCATCATCATCATCATCATCATCATCATCATCATCATCATCATCATCATCATCATCATCATCATCATCATCATCATCATCATCATCATCATCATCATCATCATCATCATCATCATCATCATCATCATCATCATCATCATCATCATCATCATCATCATCATCATCATCATCATCATCATCATCATCATCATCATCATCATCATCATCATCATCATCATCATCATCATCATCATCATCATC